ATCACTAAGATATCATTATTATTGTCATTTTGAACCTATTTCGGGTGTTTCATAACATGAAGCAGTTTGCTGAGACGACGAACATTTGCAATATACGTTTTGTTGCCACTGGAGCCAACTTTTCCACAACAAAATTCACACAACTTCAAATAGTGTTGTTTACAACAATATCTATTGCACAAACAACAATGAGAGTGAGTAAGTCTATCTTTTTTTGTTTTTCTTACAACACAAACTTCGCAAATTCTTCGGTCAGTTTTGAAATCTTCATTATCGTTTTTGACAGTAAATGGCTGGATCAAATCAATACCAACTGGAGAATAGAACTCAAAAAACTTAACAGAAACATTTTTCGTTAAATCTTTCTTTCTGAGATTGTTCACACACAATTCTTTTCCAAGAGTTCTGATATAAGAACAATGTGAAGTTGTTTCGTTAAAATATCGAGCAATTACAAAACAATTGGTGTTAGCAATTTCCAGTATATTTTTAAACAACGCGAGTACATCTCGTTTACTTAAAAGGCAATTTGTATTCTGAACACATAAAATTAAAAATATCAACAGGGTATTTCATTTTGTTGTATAAAAGATTGATATTTGATTTTTTCGAAGAAAGGCCTCAATTATCAAGAAAGGTTGTAACAATTGGAACTGTTTTGTTTTTTGAAGGCATAAAAGTGTTCAATAGAATATTACCTTTTTTAAAAAACGGTTGAATAATGGATTTTTTCTTTTTGTAGTTCAATTTTATTTTTGAGTTTTTCAATTTCAATTTCTATATTTTTAGATTCGACTTCTTTTTGTGGTTTTTTAGATTAAGAAATTGTTTTCAATTGTTTAAGTTTTTGTTTCACTCTAACGGCAATAGGATTTTGGTTGAATTGTTCTGGAAGTGATTTGCTTTTTTAATTGTCCCAATTATTTCCACGTTACCTTCCTTCCAAGTTTTCAGATTATTTAAAAAACAAATCTAGAATCTATTTAAATTTTAAAGTTTTGTTTTTTAGGAAGAAAATCAATCAAACGGTTGACCAAATTGGTACCAGAGTGACCATTTGATTCAACGCAGCCTTTATAAAATTGAAAAATGTTTACACAAAGACCGGGTTTTGTATCAACTAATAATAAAAACTCAAATCCCCGTTTTATAAGCTTCATTGGGTTGTATATTTTGTCTTTGCTCTTTCCAAAAATTTATACATTTTTTCGTCAATACATAACAATGAACCAGGAATACACACTTTCCGTAAATTTTCTTCGAAAATTGAAGTACCTTTGTGAATACCAACGTTATGAATTCCTTGAAAAAGCAGTTCGTTTCTTTTTCCTTTATCGTCGCATCTAAAATAGGAATACAATTCTTTAAATCGTGTCATCGTGAATGCAAATTTAACAAAATTAATCTCTATTTCGGAACCAAAAACTTCTTTAATTGGTAGTTGCCATTTAAAACTTGCGAGATATATCCAAACACCAAGAAAACTTAAAACTTCATCAAAATCCGTTTGAATATTTTTTTCACGATTTGTATATTCGGAAGCTTTTTGATTAATACCATCTACTATACAATTAATGATCTCAGAATTTATAAAATGTTGGAAAAGTTTAAGTGGATTTTTTAAAGTAGATTCGTCTAACAACCATTAAAGGTTTTGACTGTTTTTCTTAAAAATGGGAATTTTGAATGAATCATTGTTTGGTGATATTTCTTCCCACGATTCTAACGTAGCAGTGTTAAGTATTTCTTTTTGAATTGTAATAGTTTCATTACAATTCGTTTCTTCATAGTCGGCAGAGTCGATAGAGTCTTCTTCATTGTCGTCAAAGTCACGATCAGTGAAATCCATTTTGATTTTTTAAAATTATTTTGTGAAAAAATATCTGTAAAATATTTTTATTTCAGTAATTCGGCAAACTAGTATGTAGTGTTTTTTCAAAAAAGTTTTTGGAAAAAAAAACCCAAAATAAATTTCAACGTGTTAAATAAAAACTATATTTTATTATTTTGAAGAAATTTTATTTTATTGTTTAAAAAACCATTGAAATAGTAAATTATTTTTTAAGTGAGTTACTTTTATAAAAGTGAGTCAAAAGCGAAGTAGTGAGTCATTTTTTGACAAGTGAGTTTTAAAAGTGAGAAGTGAGTTAATAGCCATAACATCAAAAGTCGCCAAACAGCCATAAAATTTCGACCAGGACTGTGGTTTCAAATAATAATTAATAATTTCTATACGGGACCTACATTGACCACCACCACCACCTTTACCAAAAAAAATATTTGCCGCGAGTGTTTTTTGAAGGAAGTCCATTTTTCAGCCACTGTTTGTGCGTCCCCATGTCACCCACTTTCCTTGTCCGTGCTGTGTGGACGCGGATGTGGTTCCCTCCCGCTTGCGGGGGGGGGTCAGGGGGGATCCGCGCCAAGGGAGGACTTGGAAAGTGAGTGAAACGGTGCACAAACAGACTGTTTGAGTGTGTCTTTATGAGCCTTCTTTTCAATGCTCCGTCTTTCTCGGTTTCCACTAACTCGAGGTGAATTTTCGGCATTTCTTGAATTCGGGAACCAGACCTAATATCTTATCAGTTTCCTATTTACTATAATTTTAATTTGAATATGATTCGAAATAGAAAAAATAATTCTATTTTAAGAAATGGTGGTGGTGGTCAATGTAGGTCTCATTTCTATACTATTGTGAAAACTAAATATGAAAAATTATATTTGGATTATTTAATAAAAATAATTAAAGAAAACTATTCATTATTATATAAATAGTATTTAAATAAAATTATAAGTCAAACCTTAGTATTTCATATGTAATACAAATAATTATACTTTTATTAAATTATAATTTTAACCCTAAAAATTTATTCTAATTTAATAAGTAAAAATATTGTTAGACAAAAGCTAAATAAAAACCATTATTTTTAGTAAAAATTATAATTAATAATTTATTAAATAATTTTTTTGTCTAACCTAACGGCCTATAAAACAATAACAGCGAATGAGTGATAATATAGTTGTAAAAGTCTTTGGATTTCATCGAACCGTCAAAGACGAAGAAGTCAATCAAGTGTTTGCGAAGTATTCTCCGCTCTCTGTAGAGATTCCCCGTTATAATGAAGACACTCCATTAAGTTGTTGCACCTTTGAAGTCTCCAATAAAAATGTCAACGCTCTTATTTCCACGAAAAACGGGTCGGCATTTAATGAGTACAAATTGAAAGCGTGTGTGTGTGAGAAACTGCAATGGACGAGTAAAATCCGAGCGAGTCACTTTGGTCCGAATGTCAGTGACGAGGAGATGCAAAACTGTTTTAAAGAATTTGACATCACAAACTTCGAAAGAATAGTTGGGAAGAAGGGGGAGACTAAAGGAAACATTGTGATTGTCACTGTCGATGATATCGAAACAGCCAAATTGATTAAAAAAAATATGAACAAAAAGAAAATTGGAAACGACTCTTTTAAAGTCCACATTGATAATTACGAAATTGAAAAAAAGACGAAATGTTTCATATGTGGGTTGGAAGGTCATTTGGAAGGGGACTGCCCAAAAAGATTGGAAATAGAGAAGTCGATGGATAAAAAGGTTCAACAAAGTATGAAAAATACAGAGAAGAAATCGGGAGGAAATATTCGAAATAAAGATACAAAGGAAATCAAAAAGAATTCAAAAAATACAAAGAATGTAAAGAAACAGAGTAAAGAAAAGAGTGGAAATACATCAAGTGATGATTCGAGTAGTAACAGTAACGAGAGTAGTAGTGATACCAAGTAAAGTTATTGATTCTTTTTTTTTGTCTTTAACACGAACAAAACAGAAACCTAATAATAATAAGTTTTTATTTTTTTATTTTACCTAAACTTTTTCTACCTTGATACACCAAACAAATTTTTGTAATTTTCTATTTATTTTCTTTATCAACTCAAATTCGAATTGGATATTTTTTCACACTTAATACGAATGAGTTTATTTGTATTGAACAAGAGCAAAGCATAAGAAAAAAATAGAAAGAATGATGGGGTTTGATGGTAATTTGATATATTTGGTTGTTTTTTTATATAAAAAGTATATTGTCATTTGATTATAACCAGAATAGTGTTTTTATAGTCGTTATATTTGTTAATGTGACTATTTGACATTAAGTGGATTGATTTTGTAACGTTTTTTATTTGAAATGTTGTAATACGATAAAGAGATATTAAATTTCATCCAAAAAGATTATTTTTGATCAATCTTAGGTAATTAAGTTCTCATTTTTTAATTATTTTAAGTAAAATAAAACTGATTCATAACCAGTTTGGGTTAAAAAAAGTTTTGAATAAATTGGAAAAAAAGTTTTGGACAATTTCTTTTTACTTATTTTTTTTCTAAAAAAGGTTTTGGGTTATAAAAGTTTCAATTTTCGTAACCCAAAATTAATTAACACAACGAATTAAAATTAATAAACGAATGTGTTATGTAATAAGTAACATGATAAGTAAAAATATTAATTAACTATGAAAAAATGTATTGTATATGTATTATTTAATGAATCAAATATTTTTCAATAAAAAGACATTTTTAATTGATAACGTATATATCAATTATATTTTATTTGTAAAAAGAGCAAATAAATCATAGTAAAATTATTTTAATATTCAATAATATACTTATTTAACAACACTTGACAGTTACTTATAAATTTTATTTATCATATGGTTTTAGTCCTAAATTATATATATAAATATATCTAAATTTATACAACATTATTTAAATTAAATTACAAATAACACTCAAAATACCGATTTAATAAATATCAACTCGATATTTAAATTAATAAAAATCAAATTAATCAACAAATTATTTTTATTGTTGCTATATTTTACATTTCAAAATATAATGAACAATACACTTCGACAACTATAAGATTGATAAATTTATCTTAATTTAATTAAAATTAAGATATTAATGTCGTCATTATTACAGTTTAAGATGTTTTTCAAACAAAATTATTATTATAATATTATTTTTTAAAGTTAACTAAAAGCTGTTTTAATTATAACACACATAAAAACAATATATTTTTTTATCAATTCAATAATTAATATAAGCGATTGTCAATTGTCTTATATTAAATAAAATAACAAATTGGTTAAATATATGAATACTACAAAACAATTTGTTTAAATTATATTTTATTTATTTTTTCTGTCATTCTCCACATATTTTTTTTATAAAAAACTGTCACATTGTTTTAAGACAATTAAAATTATTGAAAAAAATAATTGATGATTATGTTCATTTTTATATCTCAAACACTTTTTGTAATTTTCACTGTAAATCAAGTCTATACAATTACATAAGTTTAATAAAATGTGTTTAATAAACGTTATTTGTTTTGACAAGTTATCTTCGGAGATATTCAATTTAAAATCTTCATTTGCCTTTAAAAAATAACAAGTAAAAAATAATCACAAATCAAAAGATTTTGTCTCATAAATGTTATTTTTGATTTTGTAATGTTCAAGCAAATTATAATTAACTTTTTATTTAATTATAATAAAAATGGACAAATGTTTTGGGTGAGTATTTAATGTTATTAAATTACTTGTTTTTAAATAATAAATAATTAGACCATTGATTTCAACTAAGATGTCAATAAACAATGTTTATTAGGTGATACTTTTTACAAAATACAATTTCTTAAAATGTAAATGAAACAAAATTACATTAAAATCAATAAGGGTTTGTTTATAATGAAAATATAAATAAAATGTATACAAAATATGATAATAAAAATAATATGATTTAATTTTGTTTTCAATATATGGTCTTTGTAACTTGATTTATTTAATTTGGTTATAAATTACTGTTTACAAATTGTATTATTATTAATTCAATAAAAAAGTTACTAACTTGTAATTTTAAATTAATTATTATCAGCAAATTACTTTCTTAACAATTTAAGAAGAGTAATTTGTGAATAAAATATTCAAAAAAGCTTTTGTGTACCAGAATTATATTTTCATTTATTAAAATTTTAATCTATATTTTATAGATTAAAATTTTGTAAAAATATCACAATGCCTAAAGAATGTCTTTTTCTTATTCGTGCCACAAAAATAATGAATCAACTCATTCAAAAAATTCAACTGTTGATATTTATATAAACTTATACTTCTTTGCTTATTAACGCCCAACTTCCTCTAAATATAAACAAACAAAAAACATTTTGAAATTTCTATTTAGGGTTAAACGTAAATTAAAAAAAATAATCCGAGTTTTTCAACAACCATCAAATTACCAAATCTTTTAATTGAACAAATTCGTTTTTTTAGCGAATCAATTCACATTTTTAATTATATTTAATATAGAAATTTTAAAAAATAGAAAAATGGCCAAAAAACGTTATAAAAGTACTCAGAAGACCTACAAACTCAATTAAAAATGTTCTCTGTAATTACTACACTTCTTGTTATTTTATCAAATGGAGTGTATTTACAATCTTCAGAGACATTAGTTGATCCCCTTTGTATGACTGATTTAGTTGTAGTCAACATGAATTCCTCCTCTGTGAATGTTCGCGATTACACCATTTGTTATGACAAAATTCAAGACTATGAGCACAAAGTCTATGGCTACGACATACAGTCTCTTTGTTTTGTCCACCCCGATTTTTTTATAGTGAACAAGAGCACTTTATTTCTTAATCGTTGTGGGGAATGGCTTCAAATAGTTGGTCCGAGTGAGAATGTTGTTAACTGCATGATAGCCGGTTCTGCAGATATTTCAACAGAAGGCTCGACCTTTGCGATAGAGCGCCGGACCATTGGAGTGTATTCTTCCTTATATAAACGTTTAACTTCCGGTGTAGACAACGTCAACAATTACTTAACCCAAGTGTCTGTATTTGAAGTTGCTTTTGACTTAGGAATCCCCGTTTCCCTCTATGTGATTAATAGAACACAAAGTACTGTAGCATTCCAATTTATTGATCATAACAAACCCGCCGAAAAGATCGGAATTGAATATAAAAACGTCGTCACGTCGTATCGGAAGAACATAGACGACACCTTTGTGATCCCTTTAATCAACGACTACGTCAACGTCCAGATGGTTTCCTTCGACGACGAAAAGATCAGATTTCTGGCAGTCAATTTCAGTAAAATAGATATGGCGACTGCCGCAGTCCGATACGTCGCAGTTAACACTAAGCCGTGTAAGTACATTGCAGACACTCAAGTCTTTGATTCAAGTAAAGTCGTGGAAGACAAGTTGATATTCCAGAAGTGGCAAGTGTGGACAATTAATGAGAAACAAGAAGGTCGAATGTTCGAGTGGGGGAATAATAATGTCTCTTTCGTTGCCGAAGGAGGCAATCTGACGTTGTGTTTTGCTTATGCGAATGCCTTTAGAATACAAAAGGACTTCAAAGAGATGAAAGTCGTATTTGATGTAGACGGAGACTATGAGTTTTTAATCACACACGTCTTACACGACACGTCACTCACTACATTAAATCTGAGTACCATCTCATTGATTCAGGCAAATTTGCCAACACAATATTTGAGAGTCAATGGAGGGAAAACTATCGAAATGAAAATAGCGTTCAATTTGAAGACACTGCAATTTTCTAATGTAATTACTATAACACAGAAATTCAGTAAAGGCGCTCATGTCGTTCTTAAAAGTGTGTATTTATATAGAGAAGAAGAATAAAAGACTCGGATAAATGCAACTCAACTTCTTTGGATTGTTTGTTCACAGAGTGTTCAATTACTAATGAATCATATTATACTGGACCATCTCCTTTTCTTAAAGGTTGCGAACCATTCTGTGGCGTTTGTAGAGATGGATTTGTGTGTTCATCACAAGGATTTTGTATAAAAGAACCATCAAATAATAATAGGGATGGTGGGAGTATTGTTACAATAATCGTTTTCATATTTGTGCTGATTGTAGTGTTATAACAATTGAAGGTTTTTATTTGATTTGGTATTTTTTATAATACATTTTGTTTTGTAAAGGCGATCATGGTGAATTTATTTCTGTTGATTATTTTGTTTTTTTACTCAGGAAATAAATATAGAACGATTATTATTAAAAACGAGTAGAAGAAATCAATTATGTTTTACTCTTATAACATTTAATGAGTTTTCATAGCGCCGAGGAGTCATCATTAAAACCCACGCCTTTGCCCCTGGTATTACCAGGTTTATCCAAACCAATATTAAATAGTGGTCCTGTGCAATTCAAAATGACAAGAATTTGTTTTGAGGATAGAATGGAGAGGCAATCTGACTCTCTGGTTTCAAAGTGTTTCCTTCAAAGCCTTTGGAAACACAGAGTTAAGACTTCCTCCAAACCACCCAACTTGCAAGTCCTCGTAACAATCTGTTTTGTCCAAATCAAGAACTCCTATACTCATATTACCACTTCCAGTTATTTCAACTTCAAAGTATCTATTATTTTAAAGACTTTTTATGGAATTTTCATTTTTATTTTTATCTTCTATTGTGTTGATATCAGTCGTTGTTTAATCATTGCTGTTTTATAAAAAAAATCATATGAAATCGCCATGTCATACTCACGAGAACCAACTGATACCTTTCTTACAACTTCGTTTTTTAATTTTAATGTGTTGACTAATTAAAACAAACTTTGACATTTTCCATTTATTCTTTTTTGACTTGTAAAGGAAATTCATAAATTATTTTACTGAGTTGAATTGTGTTTTTATTGGAATATTTTACTACATTATGAAGAATAATTAGTCTTGCAGGAACCAATTTGTCTACACCTAAAAATGATAAAAATTATAAATTTTTATTATACTCAAATAATTATCAGATTAATCGAGATTTTATTTTTTTATTTAAAATAATTTTTGTAAAACATAAACTTAGAGTTGGTTTATAAAATTGACTCCGTTTTTTTTTGTTACGTGTTATTTATCAAATAAAACAAAACATTACAATGTGGTGGATAAAAAAATGAAAACATCGTGTTTAGAAACACAATGAAAGGGTTGCCAAGTATTGAATTAATTGATTATACAATTGACAATTTTTTGTGAAGAACCAATGTTTGAACAATAAAAAATAATAAATATGTTAAAACGTATTAAAAATGTATAAGGACTGTCATTTTCCTTGACCAAAAAAAAGATTTGACAATGTTATTTTTTTAAAAAAAGTCCACATCTCAGCCATTGTTTGTGCGTCAAAATATCACCACTTTCTTTGTCCGTATTGTGAGAATGTAATTTCTCCGTTTGTTGGAATCTGTGGTATCCGCGCCAAGGGAGGACGTGGAAAGTTGGTGAAAATGGGATCAAATATATACTATATTTTTTAAATTTTAATTTGCATATTATTTTAGATAATAATAAGGTTGGGTGATAAAGGTCATATTGTGAAAAAACCATCTAATTAATGATGGTTTATAAATACCCATATGTATTGATTTTAAAAATTTTAACAACACAAACAGTTAATGCATTGTTTACCAACAACAATTTAATGTTGGTGGTTAAACTTATTTCCTAAATTAATTGTTAAGTTTAAGTAAAAGTTTTTTTAGTCTGAGTTGTTTGGTTTATAATTAAAAAGTAAACAAATTACGAATTTGGAAATCGAACCGAATAAAATATTGGGAAATTGCGACTTAAAATGGGTAATTTAGATGCAAATGGATATATAAGACAAATTAATTATTGTAGACAAATTAGTTTTACATCTGAAATGTTTAAATTAAAACATTTTCAAAATTTGAAAAAAGTAAAACTTATAAAATATTGTTTGTGCGATAAGTTTTTTGTTTACCTTTTAAAAAAAACACAACAAGTAAAGTTTTTTTAGTATATCATATCAAGTTTTTAAAAAAATAAAAAAACGTGTTTTATTTAAAACATTCACAGTATCATAAGGTTAATTAAAATACAAGAGTGTTTTAATGTTAATTTAACAACAATAATATATCATTATTTTATTAAAAACAATTAAAAATAAATTTCTTTGTTAAACTATGATAAAATACAACATAAATTTTGTTTGTTTTTTTTAATTTTATGACAAACTATAATTAATATTTAACAAATATAATATATTAAAAATGTGTTTTAATAAGCTAACTTGACCGACTTTTTTTCAAACCTTGTGTTGTGAACAAAGTTACACAAGATAGAAGTTAAAACACCAACAATTTCTATATAAACCAGGTCTATTAAAAAACATGTGTTTTATTTTAAATAATAATTTAAGAAATCAAAAAATAAAAACACGATTTGTAAACTGTTAACAAAAAGTTGGTACTACCAATAAATTGCTTAAACCCAATTTCCTCATTTTTTGTTTTTGTTTGGCTTCCAAAAAATGTTGAATTAGTGTCCACAGTACCACATTATTTTCTAATATTTTTTTATACTTATTAAAGAAAATTTTGTGTAAAACAGAAGAAAAAATCGCAAATTCGTCCTAAAATTTTTTAAATCAAACCGCGGCTTTTTGTTCGAATTTTTTGTAAATTAACAAATATTTCAAAATAAAAGCTGTGAGGATTTTAGACCAACACAGACTTAAATGAAATAAGAGATTAACTAATAATAGAGCAAAATAATAGAAAATACAAAATATGAACTAAAACACAATATTTAATGCCAAAACGAATAAACTTAATTGATAATAACAAATGACCAATAAACTGACCTTTTTAATACTTAAAATGTTGTTTACTTTTCTTAATATTTGAGATATCCCGCTTGGATACTCCAAAAAGTTTCATTAAATAATCATCAGTCCCCCTTTCAGCTTAAGCTCTGGCTGCACCCCTGAATTTTTGTTCTCTCAAACATATAAACATATTTATTGTGATTTTTTGGTCATCCTGTTTGATTATTATTATTATTATATAAAAACATTGAAATTACACAAATTATTAGTTTGTCTTCAAAAACGCGGCTTTAGAAGTAAAAATTATATTTTTTAAAATTTTACTCGAAAAAAACTGCGGCTTTTTTCCTTGTTTTTTTAACAAATAAATAATTAAACTATATTTAAAACTATATTTTATAGTAAAAATGTCCAGTACCACATTTTTGTTATCAGTTTATAAACCCGAATGACACTTCTTCATTTTAAAGTGATTTTAGTTATATTTCAAAGATTAAATCAGAATTCACTTATATAATATAACGATTCTTGTGGTGGATTAAAAATTCTTTTGTTTAGCCTTTCATTGTAATTTTTAAACCCATCAATATGGTACATGCCATTACCGCCTGCTGTTGTATATATTGAATTCATCATTTCGTTCTTGTTGTTCTAAACTTCCAAATTTGGAAATTCTTGGTGTTGATGCGACTTCTATCACTCGTTGCAATTTTGCAGATGTGATAGTCGACCAATTCGACTTTAAAAACATCAGGTTCTATATTAAGAAACACGCTGCTACAATTTTCACACAAAACGTCTTTTGCATTTATTTCAAAGACATTTTGATTAATAATTTCAATCTGAAAATTTTTTATTATTAAATTTCCAAAACAACAATAAACCATCGATAGACCCATTAAACCATCGATCTTGACATTTTTCACTTTAATGCAATTACCCAACAAAAGTATTTCAGAATTGGTATTGACCACATTTTCAAAACAGCATTTTTATGAGCAAATGAGGTCATCACAACTGCCGAACTAGTAACTTCAAGATTATTGAGATCTGTTAATATCGGTAAAGTAATTCCTTGACACTCATTAATTTTTATATTTAATGCTGATTTAAATAATGAAGTGTCATGAATGTTAGTGTTATTTACATTGACATTTTGACTTCTCTGAATTTGACACTTTTCAATAATTAAAGTACCAACCAACACTTTAGACAAATCGGGTAATTCGCGTTGAAATCCAGAAAGTGTCAAAGTGTTGATAAACCCGATATCCGATGATATTTTCATATTAAAAAGTAAACAATTTTTAAATACTGTATTTCTCTTTGTAACTTTGAATTTTTTTATTTCGCTGTTCTTCTCAGTTGAGTGTGAAATTTCATTATATATTAACACGTCAAATATTTGAATTTCTGAATTGTCTTCGGTTTTATTAAAAAAGGCTGTTTTCACCGATTTGGAAATGTCAAATTGTGAATTTCCAAAATTCACAATTTGTTCCAATTGTTCGAAATTTCCCGAAATTTTGATGTCACTTGAAGTGTCCAAAGTCAAAATTTTCAAGTGAGAATTCTCAAAGAAAAACTGGCAGCGAGAAGAATGCACAAATTTCAGTTCCTCACAATTATCAAATAAGTTGTTATTTAACGAAAAAGATTTCAACCCACACAAAGTCACTCTCTTTGCTTTAGAAAAGTCTATTGGCTGATACATTTGGATAATTGATAAATCAATTTCCTCTGCAAATAAATTCGAGTGTTCTACAATAGTCGAATTGACTTTTTTTAACGTTTTAAAAGTGCAGTTGCCTGTAATTTGAAGATCATTTGAGTTAAAAACACAAAACGATCGGCTCTGTTTATTATCGATATCAACTTTTTATCAAATCACACACAAAAAGTGTCAAATTTGTATGAGATTATTTTGTATTAAAAATTCCAAGAGTAAAAGCTTTACAATTGTTGAATTCCAGCACGTCTGATTTATTAGCGTCGATATAAAAAGTTGAATTTGACGTGTTTTCCACACCAAAATATTTTGCACACTTTTTATTGACATAACAAGAGACGTTGTCACACTTATCAACTTTCAGCACTTCCAAGTTATCAAGCGCACCAATTTTAATATTTTGAATATTTTTCAATTCAAGTTCTCTCACGTTAATAAAAGGAAATTCACTTAATTTCTTCCAATACTTAATTTCTAATATTTCATTATTACTATCTTTCTTAAATAATGAAAAGTCGTTTAAACTAACCTTTTCGACATTTTTAATATTTCCGTTGTAATATACACCACA